GTATATATATATGTCCATACAATGATATTAGATATCCTTGTATTGCTTAATCTATAGTGTAAGTCAGCATAGATATTAAAAAGAAATTGCAGCTATTAATTTATATTTGATCTGAGCACTCTGCTACACAGTAGAAAAAATCCAAATATAAAAGCTTATATCTGTGCAATTATATGTACTATATTCATCTTTCAACAAACTACTGATTTAATACTATTGGTACATTACTGTTAGTATAATATAGAATTGCCAAATCATAACATTAAAAAACTTTCCAAAATATATTAATAAGCAAAGAAAACCAGACCTTGATCTTGCAATCAATCATTTTTGAACCATCACATCTGACTTAAACAAATGTCTTCCATCTCAGGCTGCCACTGTTAGTCTGCACACACTAATCATATTAATTCATTTACAGATTTGCTGTAGTAATTTCACACAAAGCCTTTAGAATTAAATTCACACCTGAGTTGACATTCATCACTAAGACCACAAATCTCTTATACCATACTTGGGTCTCAGTGCATAAAGATTTGTGCTGAACTTCTGCTTTGTTATGAACATCTCTTCTAGCAAACATTTCTCTCACCTATAGCATAACCCAAGTAATCTGATTCATTCTAGGTGCCTTAAAACTACAGGTCTACAAAAGATGCAACTTCATGCTACTAAATGCTTTCAATGGTTTAGATCTTGGTGAAGATTAAATACCATCTGGAAGGCAATACAAACATTAATATGTACATAAAACATTATCCCCAATATACTAAGTGACATCACTTTTATAAGGCAGACAAGCCAGGATTTGAATATCTGAGAAAAGGTGGAAACTACCAGATCCTAATTGAGGGCAAGGTTACAGAGCAGCAACAATGGTCAGCAGGATTAGGCCTTTCCTCCATGAAAATTAACAGGAACTGACACAAAGAACTGTTAACAGCAGACTAGCTAGTATGACAGAGATATCGTGCACCACCTGTCAGTACAGAGCAAGGACTGCAGGACACATTTCATTCTGATGCTGGCAGATAAGAAAGCATTCGGCAAGTTCTTCTGCCTTTCTGATAATTTTGTCAATGTTCATTACAGTAACTGAACAACTGTGTACACAATGATGGATGCTTTCTTCCTTGCTTGCAGACTACTTTGCAAATACGATATAGAAACTGACAGAGTTGGAAATGTGCAAATCACAGAACAAAAACATCAAACTTTTAAATGAAGGACAAGATAGTTTTCACTTTCAGTTTAGATTCTATAGAAAAAAACCCATAAAATCAAGACTCATGCTGTCCTACCTCCTGCTTAAACTTTATTCCCCAGGAAAACTTATCCTTGTCTTTTTTTTCACTAATAATTCTGGGCTGAAAGCAGGACTGGAGTTAGAGCATACTTAAAAATAAGGTGCTATTCATCTTGAGTTGTTATGTCTAAGGGCCTATTTATAGGCAAAGTAAAGAATCCACAGGTTTAATTCTAGGGCATGTGAGAATCTTATGAAGAAAAGAATACTATTTCAGAGTGTATGTAATACTATTACTTTTGTTAGGACTTCCCAAAAGGCAGATAAGTCAGCAGGTTTGGATGTGTGTTCA